ACAAACTAGTTTAACAATATTACAACTTCTAATTGTTCACTCATCTGTTTACCTGGTTTTAGGGATGACTAAATGGCCATAATGAATGATGCTGTCTGCCTTACAAACACTGCCTAGGAAATGCTTGGCAATCTTCATTGCTTATTAAACAAGTTGAGTTGGCAACACACATGCAAAAAGACAACAATAAAAGCACACACAAAAAAAAAAAAATCATTTAAAAATATTTACTAAGGAACACTGCAAAAATACATCCAATTTCATGTGTTTTCAAATATTCCTGTTATCCATTTATAAAAATACAAAAGCGTAAGGCAGTCATTTAAAAAAAACAATTTATACATTTCTACAAAGTCCATAAAATTCTCTGCAAAAATAGTTTTCACTGCAGCATATCTATAAAATATAAACTGTACATTTGAAAAAAAAAAAAAACCTTAAAAAAAAAAAAAAAATACATGTCAATGAACGTATTTTTCTGTACCTTTTATGTTGAAACAATACCTTTGTTTACAAACACATAGAATTCACCTCTATATTTTAAATAAATTATTCATGGAATACAATTTATATATAAAAATATGTACAGATATAGAGCCGCAACTTATTACAATTTAAATACACTATTTATAAGTCCTACCTAAGTAGATCACATTGACACTTCCAGTACCAGTATTAAAGGTCTCTGAATAGGTTATTTACACTTCATTCATAAGAAAAAAAAAAAAGAAAAAAAGTGTCTTAGGGCTCATGCACACGGCACAATTAGAAAAAAAAATGCGCAGCTTGTGGACGCACACTTTTTTACACTACCTGAATACAGCTCTACTACAGATGATGGGGTTTATTTACTAAAACTGAACTAAGAAAGCTGATTTACTACCATGCATGGCTGCACCAGATTCTGAGTGCACTAGTTTTAGTAAATCTACCCCTATGGGATTTACTAAAACTGGAGAGTGCAAAATCTGGAGCAGCTCTACATAGAAACCAATCAGCTTCCAGGTTTTAGTGTCAAAGCTTAACTGAACAAGCTGAACTTAGAAGCTGATTGGCTACCATGCACAGCTCCACCAGACTGAGTGCGCCACTGTTAGTAAATCTACCGCAATGTGTTCATGCAGATTGTGGCACTTATATCCATATGCTAGAGCAGCATTCAAGAATGTACAAGGATGGTTTTTTTACACCTCTGAATGCAGCTCTATACAGCCAGTGAATGCATATGCATTGTGCTGCTTAGAACTGCATCCTAGAGCTGTGTTTAGAGAAAAAAAAATATTGTGTGTATCACCTAAACAAGTATAAGCACATGTACACACAAATGCATTTTAGCGTCTAGAATAAAGAATTATTAAGGATACTCAACCAAGGATTATTCCAGACATTAGAATTTAAGCATGTGTGCTTTTTAAACGCTTTGAATGCAAAAACATAAGTACTTTACATGTCATAACATGCATTTTTTTTTTAAAACACTGGAATGTTCTGCCAGCCACTGGCAACAAGATCCAGCGTTTATAGAGTATTTAATGATCCCCGTGTGCATGGGCCCCTATGGTGGCAGTGCAGAGCTTTTGTAGCAGGTTGCATTGTTTAACTGTAGAACAGCAATTGTGGGGGGTGCTGTGTAAATTCACCCCATGCCCACAATCTAGAAGGCAAATGAGCAGCATCTATGCTGTAATTACATAGTATATACCTTTATAGCCATTCAGATTTACCGTATCATACTGCTTCTGGTTTAAACACCAATATCTAGACTGCTTGCAAGTTTGGCACGTGCAAATCTTTCTGAATGATTCAGCCTATCATGTGCTTATTATTAATTTTCAGCTCTAGTAAGGCAGTTAGTTTGGTGGCACCTGATATCAACCTGTCACCGTAATAAAATATAAAAGCAGCTTTTTCTTTGAAGCAGATCTAAAGCCCCATTTTGGTGAAGATCCTCTTCTATCTAAGGCAGGGGGAATTGGTTTTGGATTCCACCACCCTCATCCAACTTGCTGGTAGATGATGAGTAGTAGAGTTGACAAATGGAATAGTGGAGTTGCATAGTTTGTCCTAAAGGGACCAGTGCTGCATAGTATGCATCAATGCCAAGAATTCCCATAACCCTGGAACTCCCTGCGTGTTCCGTGTATAGGTTACCTGTTACTACAAGCAGGGACAGCTGATGTTTAGAAGGTTTAATACTAGGGGCGGAGGAAAGGGGTGACAGGATCTTCAGCACTGGAAAAGGGGATATTGGATGTCAAAACTAGAGGGGGAGTAAAGCAATTCTAACAACCCCATAAAACGCCTCACATTTTATATTCTAAGGCACAGCTGAGACGTAGACTAGGACAGTTGGTGCTACTCGGGTCAACAAGGCAAGAGCATCACCAGTTGTGCAGAACGATATGCAAGAACCCCTTATTGGCAATACCCATTGACAATCATGTCAGATATGACATCATCTGCCACGTGTCTACAAGGGTTGTTAAAGCATATACAGAACTTTCATTCAATGGAGCAGGGAATGAAAAGAACCCCCATCAACATACTGCTATGTTCATCTTCTCTACTAGTATGCCGGTGACTACCGTCACCAAGAGAATTATAAAATCCAAATAGTTGTCACCAGAACAGGAGGTAATGGTAAAGGTAACCATACACCTTCCAATCTGACCAAACCATATTCTTTTGGATCTACCAACAATTATATAGTATAACAGCCTACCTAAATCCAAATGGTCTGGATTATTTGGGTAGAGCTTCTAGTCACTAGTTTCCATAGATCTAAAAGGAGATAAGTGAGAAACTGCTCATTCAGATTTCAAGGTGTATAGCCACCTTAAAGCTCCCCACGTTACAAATCTGAGTGTACAATTTCCTTTAGATGTACCAACAACTATGTAGTGTAAGTATTGGACACATTAGGTAGGTCCTTATATTACATAGCTTTGGTAAATATAAAGTCGATTGTAGAGGCAGATTACAACATGTATGGCGACTTTTAATAGGAACACCTGTTCCAGTGACAACTAAGAGGAGAGTTCCCTTCACTTCCCTTTGTGTCTCTGGGACAGATGGTAAAGGGAAACCTATTTCAATGTGACATACACAGCAAAAAATACATTTCCAGGGAGTTTTACCCTTCCCGATTCCTTCCAAAACTGACTGGTCATATGATAAAGCTGACCACACACTATACAATCTCTGTACAACCTCCTTTAGCTTTCCCAAAACTACACAATTGTGGAACCGATCTATACAATCTATTCAGACAGACAGGTTCTTACACTACACAGCTGAAGAAATTGTAAAATCAGATTGCATACTGTATGGCCAGTCTAAGCGTCACCAAATAATGGAAATCCAACTTTACAATTTTAGACTCACCAAAACAGACCTGTGCACTACATAGTGGTAAATTTAAAAGAGATCGTACAATCAGATTCCTTGGCGTATGACAGCCTAAGGGTCACCACTCACATTGCAATCTGACTGCACAATGAATATTAGATTTACCACAACTATTTAGAAGGACCCATCTATACAGTCTGTTTGGTTTGTATTCAGACAATCAGCCCCTTATACTACATAGTTGTTGGTAGATCTAAAGATTGTACCATCAGATTGCATACTGTATGGCCAGCCTAAGGGTCACCATTCACACTGCAACCTCATTATACAATTATTTTTAGTTTTACCAAAACTATGTAGTAGGACCTATCTATTCGGTTTGTCTTCAGCCAAGCAGGCCCTTGCATTACATAGTTGTAGGCAGATCTTAAGGAGATTGTACAAATCAGATTTGGTGTATGACAGCCTAAGGGTCACAATACAGATTGCAATCAATGTTAGTTACCACTACTATGTAGTAGGACCTATCTATTCGGTTTGTCTTCAGCCAAGCAGGCCCTTGCATTACATAGTTGTAGGCAGATCTAAAGGAGATTGTACAAATCAGATTTGGTGTATGACAGCCTATAGATTGCAATCTATGTTAGAGTTACCACTACTATGTAGTAGGACCTATCTATACAATCTATTTGGTCTGTATTCAGACAAGCAGACCTGTGCACTACATGGTTGTTGGCAGATCTAAAGATGATTGTACAATCTGACTGCACATGGATTAGCCAGCCTAAGGGTCACCATATGGATTAAAATCTGATTGTACAATTCATTTTAGGTTTACCAAAACTCTGTACAAGGACCTATCTATACAGTTTGTATTCAGACAAGCATGGCCCCTAGTACTACATGTTTATCGACAGACATAAAGCAGCTTGTACAATCAGATGACACTGTATGACAGCCTAAGGGTCACCATACAGGTTGCAATCTGACTGTACAGTCAATTGTTAGGTTTATCAAAACGATGTCCTATCTATATAATCTATTCAGACAGGCAGATCCTTATACCAGATGTAAAGGAGATTGTACAGATTGCATAGTATATGTCCAGCCTTAGGCTCCATGCACACTAGCAGTTAAAGCTCCTAGGAGCTGTAATTAGCATTTTTCCTGCTCCTAGAAGCTACATCGTGTTATCCTACGTGTCCATGCACACTACTTTAGGCTATTAGCATTTTTTGAGCTTCAGTGCCTAGAAGCAGAAAAAAAAAAAGGTTTTTGTTGAGGTTTTGGAGTTTTTCCAACAGAAAAAAAAAAACGCTAAACGCTTGTAAACCCTCTAACAGCTTTTTTCCTCTACATGTACTGTAGAAGCGCTAAAATGCTTGTTCCTAAATGTTACTACAAAAACCCCCAAAACGCAATTACCAGCGCTTAGGTATAAAATAAACGCTAGTGTGCATAGAGCCTTAAAGAGAGCATGTTGTTGCCCATAGCAACCAGTTTTTTTTTTTCTCCTCCTTCGCTTCCAAACATGACAGCTGAAAGTCTCCCGCTTTGTCCAGCAGCTGCCCTTGGATCCGGCTGACAGCAGATACATTGGCCCATTGGGCGTAGAAGGCGTCCATGTCACCCCAGTAGAAGCAGCACCAGCGCTACAGACGTCCCCAAGGTGACCACGGAAACGTAGGACGTGGCTGATCCCCGGTTGCTGTCTCCGGCGATGACACGGTGCGTCTCCTCTTCGTGGGACCCGTCCCCCTGTCCGGACCACCCTCCTCATCGTACTCATCCTCGTAGTCGTAGTCCGAGTTGCCGCTGCTGCCTGGCCCCCCATTGCCCAGCTCGGCCCCAAAGCACAGGCGGGCCATGTTCTCCTTGATGGACTCACAGATGGGCCTCTCCAGGCCGTCACACACGCAGTCATTGAGCAGCAGAGCCTTGGGTACCTGCATCATGTCCTCGATGACCCCCCGGCACTCGTCCGTACAGCGTACCCCGTTGAAGAGCCGGCCGCACTTGCTCAGGTAGCGGGTGAGGGGAGGCGTGGCAGCGCCGGTCCCCTTCGCACAGCTTGCGGGCTTCCATGCAGCCCATGACGGCCCCGCCTCCTGCCGCCGAGGCCCCGCCCCCGGCCCGTCCTCCGCTGGTCCAGGGCATGCACGGCTCGATGGCCCGCTTGGTGGCTTTGCAGAGCTCGTCCATGGCGCAGTCACAGTCCTCCAGGGCCGGCCCCCCCCTTGGTATGGTTGAGCTGGATGAGGGCGGAGATGCAGTGGCTGGGGCAGCGGTGGCGGGCGGCCTCCCCCGGCCGGGCCAGGACGGAAGAACAAGCCTCGGTGTACTGGCTGTAGGCATAGCTGCACTCCGGCTCCCGCTGGCACTGCAGAATGGCCTGCCAGCAGATGAGGCGCCGGCTTAGGGCCACCCCCAGCACACAGCCCAGCAAGAACAGCGACAAGGTGCACCGGAGCGCCATCTCCGCCCGCCCGCCGAAGCTGGCCTGTCCTGGACTAGGAGGCACGCTTCACTCCATCCCGGGGCATGACAATGGCAGTCCTCATCCTTCACTGCAAGCACAGGGACAAGTCTCCGCTCCGGCGCTCCCTACTCACGCCGCGCTCTCATTAGCCCTCATTAGGCATGCATGGAGCCGCTAAACAAACAAACAGCACAAGAAACGATGCTGCGGCTCCTCTCTACTCCGGGCTGCGGTGGCTCGCTGCTTTTCTCCTCATCTCCCCGCCCCTTTCCCGGATCCCCGGCCCGCCATTGGTCCAGCCGCTTGTTGTTGAAACTTTTGTGTGTGTGTGGAGGAGATCCTTAGGAGGGGGATGGTGATGGATGGATGGGGAGGGGAGGCGGTGAGAAGCAAATGCTCGAAGATGACACAAAGCCCACCCCTTTCTCCAGCGACTCCTCATCATCATTATTAGGAGGTGGGGGGAGACTTGGGAGGATAGGAGACGGTAATGTACAGCACAGGGACCGCTATGGGTGCATGGATCTCCCTCAACTACTGTACATAGGTTTTCATGGAGACCACAACTTTACTAGTAGGGACAAATACTGACCCTGAAAAAGAGATCAGTCTGCTAAAAAGGAAAAACTTTATTATTTCAGGTACATGTATAGCGCCCTCAATTTATTTATTACAGGTTCTTGTATAGCGCCATCAATTTATTTATTACAGGTACTTGTATAGCGCCATCAATTTATTTATTACAGGTACTTATATAGCGCTATCAATTTATTCATTAAAAGTACTTATATAGCGAGGTCTATTTATTTATTACAGGTACTTATATAGCGCCATCAATTTATTTATTACAGGTACTTATATAGCGAGGTCTATTTATTACAGGTACTTATATAGCGAGGTCTATTTATTACAGGTACTTATATAGCGAGGTCTATTTATTTATTACAGGTACTTATATAGCGAGGTCTATTTATTTATTACAGGTACTTATATAGCGAGGTCTATTTATTTATTACAGGTACTTATATAGCGAGGTCTATTTATTTATTACAGGTACTTATATAGCGAGGTCTATTTATTTATTACAGGTACTTATATAGCGAGGTCTATTTATTTATTACAGGTACTTATATAGCGAGGTCTATTTATTTATTACAGGTACTTATATAGCGAGGTCTATTTATTTATTACAGGTACTTATATAGCGAGGTCTATTTATTACAGGTACTTATATAGTGAGGTCTATTTATTTATTACAGGTACTTATATAGCGCTGTCAATTTATTTATTACAGGTACTTATATAGCACCATAAATTTATTTATTACAGGTGCTTATATAGCAGCATCAATTTATGCAGCGCTTTACACATATATATTGTACATTCACATCAGTCCCTAACCCTGAAGGGGCGTACAATCTAAGATCCCTAACTTTCATTCATACATACACATACTAGGGCCAATTTAGACAGGAGCCAATTAACCTACCAGCATGTCTTTGGAGTGTAGGAGGAAACTGGAGTACCCAGAGGAAACCCATGCAGGCACAGGGAGAACATGCAAACTCCAGGCAGGCAGTGGTGCTGTGGTTGGGATTTGAACCAACAACCCTAGTACTGTCAGACAGAAGTGCTAACCACTTAACCACTATGCTGCCCAATAGGTTCATTCATCACCTCCAATAACAACACGTTTTTTTTTCTGCACATTATCCACTTGCCCTCCAGAGGATTTACCCCCCTTCCTGACCAGGCCATTTTTTACATTACGGTGCTGCGGTACTTTAACTGACAATTGCGTGGTCATGCAACCCTGCACCCAAATGAAATTTATGTCTTTTTCTTTCCCCACGAATAGAGATTTCTTTTGGTGGTATTTGATCACCTGTGCGTTTTTAAATTTTTGCGCTATAAACAAAAGAAGAAACAATTGTCATTAATTTCATCATAAATTTAGGCCAGAATGTATTCTGCTACGTGTCTTTGCGAAAATAAAATCCCAATACATGTAAATTAATTAGTTTACGTGAAAGTTATAGCATTTACAAATGGCGGTATATATACTGGAATTTCTTTTTTTTTTACTAGTAATGGCGGCGATCAGCAACTTATAGCGGGACTGCGGCAGGCATTCTGACACTGGGGGGAACTGACTTGGTGTCACTGACATCCCCAGTGACACCAATACAGTGATCAGTGCTAATAAAAAACACTGACACTGTACTAATGGCACTGGGCAGGAAGGGGTGAACATGTGGGGTGATCAAAGGGTTAACTGTCCTGTGTGTGTTTTACTAAGTGTGCTGTGTTTCACTGTAAGCACAATGCTTTGTATGGCTCTGTTATGCAAAGCCATACAAAGCAGTGTGCAGGAGCTGACGGGAGAGATCTGTGTTGTTTATACACAGGCCTTTCCCCCACCGGAGATAAACTGTGATCACTGAGTGCTGGCAAAAAAATCACCATCCGGGTCCCAGTGATTGACAGCCAAGGCTGCAAATGGCAATGCGTGCGCCCCCTACCCGGAACTGCAAAATCACACATATATATATATATATATATATATATATATATATATATATATATACACACGAATTTTGCACACCCGTGCCGCCCTGTAGCAATATTTCTACTATAGGGTGGCACAGAAGCAATTAACCACTTCAATACCAGGCTCTTTTACCCCCTTCTTGCCCAGGCCAATTTTCAGTTTTGTTGCACTTTGAATGACAATTGTGCAATCATGCAACACTGTACCCAGATGAAATTATCTTTTTTTTTTCACACAAATAGAACTTTGTTTTGATGGTATTTAAAGGAGAGGTACAGCTAAAGCTCTTTTAACTGTACTTCTCCTGTGGGTCACAGGAGTGCAGTTCATTCTGATCTCCTGTGACCCGTTTACAGCTGACAGCAGGCTGAAGCCTGCTGTTGACTGACATCACAGATCCAGTCCAGGCTGGGGAAAGATCCCAACGTTCAGTGCCGGTTCACATATATACGGATTGGATATGGTTTGAAATACATCCAATCCGCCTGACGTGAAATAGCATTGCTTCCTCTGGTGCCTGTTCATATATGTCCAGTGCACTGGTGGTGCGAATTCAGTGCGGTTTTAAAGGTTCAGGTGCTGATTACAGGCTATTGACTTCTATGGGAACTGTTTCTAAACCGCGTATATGTGAACAAGATATATCTTGAGCTAATCCTGTCCTGAACCTGATGTGAACCTGTGAACAACTACTGTATCAATTAGCTGTGATACCTGAGCTTCAATCTGCACTGCACATGTGTGAATCAGCTCTAAGGGCTCATTCACACCATACTTTCATGGAAACAGACGTGTAGATTTCACTTACAAAGACATCAGCTGACATCAGTTTTCATATGTGTTTCAATGAGTTTTATACAGGATGCAGATTGATGTGCAGAAAAAATCTGCAGGTGATACTAGTGTTGTGGTGTAAACAGGGCACATAGAGAACAATGGATTTTGCTGTGCCTTTGCAGAATGCGTGCAGAAAAACTGACATCTCTGCACCATGGTGTGAACAAGGCCTAAAGTTGGGATCCACCCCAGAGTCTGGAGTTGTACCTGGCTCAGCCTATCAGCAAGCTGCTGAGAGCCTGAGCCAGCCGCTCGCTCCCTTTCCACAGCCCAGCACTCCAGTGAGCATGGGAGGGGCAAAGCAGACAGAGGTGACTGACAGTCACTGCTCTCTGCTCAGAACGGCTGTGAGAGCTCAGCGGTCATGTGATCACTGAGTTCTCACACTAAGCCCCTGGTCACATCGGATGCGATTTTCATGCCAGGGGACTTGCAAATCGCATGCCAAATTGCACCCTATTGTCCACAATTACAGCGGTCAATCAGTGTGGTTCTGACTTGGTTGAAGGCGAACCAATTTCTAAAGTAGTACATGCATTACTTTTTGTGCGACTTGCATAGACATCTGTGTCAGTTGTCTTGCAAATCGCACTTGAAATTGGCATGTCCCTCGACTTTGAAATCATGTGACTTCTCTTTAAATCACACGATTTCAAAGTCAGGCTTGATTTGGCCGGGGTGTAAATCTAGGTTCACATCTAAGCGTTTTCCATTGCTTTTTGCAGAAACACACTACAATCCATTTAACATGATTTCCTATGGGACATGTTCACATCTTCGCGTTTTCACCCGGTGCGGTTTTTGGAAAGGGTCAGGGACTTTTTTAAATGCAAAAAGGTTTTTGGTTCTATAGACTTCAATGGAGATGCTGCAGAAAAGCATGTAGTGCATTTTTGATGCATCTTGCATTTTAATCTGCCTAACAGCAAGAAAAAAACGCAAAACACATCAAAAACACGTTAGAAAACGCATGTCCAAAAAAGCAAAAAGCACTGCAGAAACAGAGCAAACACAAACTGCATTGGTGTGAACCTAGCCTTAGAGCCAACAGGGGACAGATGCAGCATCAAACTGAGTAAGAATAAATGGGGGAAAAAAAGCCTTACTTTTCTTTTAATAATTGCTGAGTTTTTTTTGCTAAATAAACGAATGAAGACTGAAAATTTAGAAAAACAATCCCACATTTTTCTTCTGTTCTAAAAATCTAAAAATTTGCAAATACGTATTTTTCTTTACTGATGTACGCTGGTGAGGCTGCACTGATGGGCACTGATAGGCTGCACTGATGGGCACTGATAAGCTGCGCTGCTGGGCTGCACTGGTAATCAGGGCACTGAGGATCAGCACCCTGATTATCAGTGTAAACAAAGTGCTGTCAGTATTGCCAGTTATCAGCTTTCTTTTCCTCACACAGGTTGATTTACTAAGACTGGTTCACTCAGAATCTGGTGCATGCCAGCCAATCAGCTTTTAATCTCAGCTTGTTCAATTAAGCTTTGGCAATAAAACCTGGAAGCTGATCAGTTTCTATGCAGAAGTGCACCTAATTTTTCACTGTCCAGCTTTAGTAAATAAACCCCACAGTGACAGCGCTGAGGAAAGGAAAAGCCGATAAGTCTGTTAACGTGATCAGCTGTGACTGGATACAGCCGATCACATGGTAAAGGGCCGCCGTGATTAGCCATTTACCGCGATTTGTGATCAGCTGTGACCAAAGGACACAGTGGTCCCCAAGCACGCTGATATGTGCCCCAGGGGGTGTACGTGAGGCGCATTCTGGGAAGGCATCTATAGAACGAGATCACCACACTGGAGCCGTCTTTCTGCTATAGCGTGGTATTAAAGTGGTTAATCAACAGTCCATTCAAAATGAATTGATGTCACACAGATCAGCAATCCAGAAATTGGACCAGTACCTTTTATTTTGACAGAGCAATGCACATAAAAGGGAATTAAGGGCGGCTGCACACTGCCCCTGCTGTGCTTTTGCTAAAGCGCAGCTAATCCACGGTTCTAGTGTGGGTTAGCTGCGCTTTCCTATAGACTTCCATGAGGTCTTGCTGTTTTAGTGTGGTTGCAGAAAGTGCACCAAAACTCTTGCATTCTGCATCTGTGGTGCGCTTTTTGAAACCACACCAAAACTACAGGGTCTCATTGAAGTCAATGGGAAAGCTCAGCTAACCTGCAAATTTTGTGCAGGTTATCTGCACTTTCCCATACACTTCTATGAGGTCTTGCTGTTTTAGTGCGGTTTCAGAAAGTGCACCAAAACTGCTGCATCATGCATCTTTGGTGCGCTTTTTGAAACCCCACCAAAACTACAGGATCTCACAGAAGTATATGAGAAAATGCAGCTAACGCACGTTTTTTGTGCAGGTTATTTGCATTTTCCTGTAGACTTCTATGAGGTCTTGTGGTTTTGGTGCAGTTTCAGAGAGTGCACCAAAACTCCGGCATACCGAATCTTTCTTGCGTTTTCTGAAACCACCCCAAGACTGCAGAACATCATAGAAGTCTATGGGAAAACTGTTGAATGCGCTTTGCTCAAACGCAGCAGGACTGTACCAGTGCGGTGTGAAGCTGCCTTTACTAATGGTTGGTTCACAGCAGATGGCATCCAGTGCAGCTTTCTGTGTCAAAAACACATGGAGAGTGTTTAAAATGGATTCTGATGACCAAAGTTTACACGAGTGCAGTGCAATTCAAGGCAGTCAACAAAAGTAGAACATGCTGCATTTTTTCTGTATGGGACGCATCTGGAATGCAGCAAAATATATGAAAAACGCACCAAAACACACATGTCCTTAACAGAGGTGAAGAAAAGAGAAACAAATGTACTAGAATGAATAAAAATACACGGGAACTCATCAAAAACACACATGCAGAAATGCATCCGGAACACAGAAATTGTAGTGTGAACCAGCCCTAAGACTGGAGCAGACCAATTCTGGAGTGGCTGTGCGTGGCACTTTGGTACTTTCATATTGAAAACTTACAGTGTAAGTTCACCTTTTCAGAAAAAAATGTAAAGGTGAACCAACACTACTCACCCACTGTACTTACCTCCAGGAACGATGAGCTGTCCATGCCCATACAATCAGTTCAGCAGTTTGGAAATTTGAAATCCCTGCTCTTCTCCATTTTCTGTGATCAGCAATTCCTGGACAGATCAGAGCAATTCTGATTGGTCAGCACCTGCACAGAGCATCACTTTGATCCATCTCGGAAACTACACAGAGAAGAACTGGGATTTCAAAACCCCAGACCACTGCACTGACTGCATGGGCACTGACAGCTCATCACCCACAGAGGTAAGTACAGCAAGGACTGGTGGAAGTGTAGGGTATGGACCTTTTTATTTTTTCTGAGTAAGTTAACTAACCCTTTAAGTATTTTCCAGAATAAGGAAAGTAGGCAGATGTGACTGAAAAAAAGAGCTGGCTATGTTATTTTTTAACTGTCTTTTTTTTCACCTATTATTTTTATGAGAACTCTGAGCTGCCTGTAGTTTGTAGTAGTAACATTCCATAGACTGTTAAACATTGCAGCGGAACGAGTTGCCTTTTGCATTGTGCTACGTAATTGTATATACAGATAAATACAGTTTAACCAGATAGTGCTTGTGCCATAGCATGCAGGAGAAAGCCATCTTCTTACTAGGTTACAATCCTGATATTGCTATACTACACTGTGAGAATAGATTCCATCGGGGTCAGGCGAAATGCCTGAGGCTCTGAAATGTCTCAGCTCAGATGTACTGCATGTTTGGGATGTGAGAAACTGCTATGATAGTTCAAGAATGAACAGGGCAGCCATCTAGTCTCCATAAAATATTTTTAAAAAATTCTATGAACTTGTAAGAAAAAAAAATGGCAGTTTGAGTCAATGAGACGCTATACTCAGTATACTCTTGTTTATCTATCTATCTATCTATCTATCTATCTATCTATCTATCTATCTTTCTATCTATATATGTAT